TATGATGAACGACATCCCATAATCCCTTTACAAATGTTTACTCTCTCGGCTACCGGAAAAAATTTATACATTTCATATCGTTACATGGCGATAACTAGTTAGTGGTTCAACTCACCGGTCCAGATACTGGGATCCGAGAATCAAGAACTTGGTGAAGGCAGTCATTAACTCATGCCAGATCTGCGTTATCCACAAAAAGAGATTTAAAGTCCAGATGATAAAAAGTTTGCCAAAGGAGCGCGTGTCATAGGTTAGGTTAGGTTAGGGCGGCTGTCGGACTATAGTCCGACACACTTAGACCTCAATGGGTCCATTGTGATGCCGCATGATCTCGTTTTTTTTCCTTCTCTAGGGTCCCGTTTCTAGTAGTTTCAGCCTGTGTTAAGCTGATCAGCATGTCTTCCATCCGGAAGATTTAATAAAGGCACTTATGCTTTTGAGATTAATCTCCGATATTTCGGTAAGATCGTCGATGAAGGGGCTTCCTAAGTGTTTCAGTCTGAGTCTGCATAGGGATGGGCAGAAGCAGAGAAGGTGTTCTACCGTTTCCACTTCTTCCTCATCCCTGCAGCTGCTGCAAAAATCATTTTGCGGGGCTTTTAGCCTGCCGGCATGTGCGCCAACAAGTCAGTGGCCTGTAAGAACTCGAATCAACATGCCACACTCTGTGCGGCTGAGTTTGAGTAAGTCCGAGGTTTTTTTGTTGTTTATCACAGGCCATGTCTGGTGAGAGGTGCGACACTGTGGTGCGTTTTGCCAATGGGTGTTGGCTAGTGTGTTGAAGTGGTTTTTTACGTTTAGCTTGCAAGTAGCCATGGGCATACCGACATTCTCCTCTCCTGGGAGGAGAGGCTTGGTGGTGCCCTGCCTGGCTAATTCGTCCGCTATGCAGTTGCCTACGATGTCCCGGTGACCCGGAACCCATATTCGGCTAATAGTAAACTGATTTGCCATCTCGTGGAGAGATCTGCGACAGTCTGCTATTGTATGGGAGTTGGTGTTTGTCGAGTAGATCGATTTAATAGCCGCTTGGCTGTCACTATATATGTTTAGGTGTCCTCTCTGGAGGCTAAAGTTCCCTAAACAGGTTAGTGCTTCTTTTATAGCGTGGACCTCCGCCTGAAAGACGCTGCAGTGGTCCGGGAGCCTGAATGACTTTCTGATATCTAATTGTTCGGAGTATACACCTCCGCCAACGTGTCCTTCTAATTTGGAGCCATCTGTATAGAAACAGATTGCGTCCGTCGTGCCCGGTCGGCCCTGTTCCCATTCCTCTCTATCAGGCTCCCAGGGATGTGAGCGTCTAGGAGCTAACCATGATTCATTTGCTTTTTGAAGGTAGCCCAAAGGCGCGGCTGTCTTAGAGAGTATTTTCCTGAGACTTGCGGCATCAGTTGTTTTTTCTATGTCAGAGCCTTCTAATGGCATTTTTATAGGAGGCTAGTTCAAACTTGTAGTTCAGCCAATCATTTCTCGCCTTTTCTCTGTTAATCAGGCATCTACAGTTGGTTCTGAGGATTGATAGTTGTTGGGTCCACCAGGGGGGTTTTTTCCTTCCCCTTGGTTTCTCTGTGGGGCATGCCACTTTGAAGGCAGTGTTGCATGCCTCTGTGAATTAGTATACTGTTTCGTCCAGCTCCTGTGGGTTAGTGATGCTTTCTGACGGTTTCATGGGGAGGATATTTGTCAGAACTTCTTTGTACCTGTGCCAGTCGGTTCGTCTGGGGTTAGCGAAGCTGACCGGCAAGGGCGAATCAAGGGACAATACAGTTTCTATGAATCTATGGTCCGAAAAGGAGTGGTCGTCAGAGACTGCCCAGTTTTGACTGCGCCTACGAGTGAATCTGATACCAAAGTTAGATCTATGATCGTTTGGCAAGCTTTAGTTATGAATGTAGGGACATTGCCCCTATTGCATAAGAATAGGTTCGAATTTAGAATAAAATCAAAAAGAGACTCACCTCTGGGTGTGATGGGCGTTGGCGTCACAGCCTATTACCAAACCTTTCTTGAGCTTTTCGCATTCCTCTGCCAGTCCTCTGACCAGCGCATCTGGGGTGTTTTCCTTTTCAAAGCCCAAGTAGGCCGATAGAACCCTTATAGAGCCACTTTGCAGCTCCAGGCTTACTGCGGTGTTGTCTCCGTTGCTGTAATTGCGAAGTAGAAATATACTAAGATGCCTTTTGGCTAATATGCAGGTTGGAATTTTACCTTCTTTGGGGTCAAGCATAAGCTTGTTTTCCTTTGTTCCTAGTCCAGCATCCTTGCCTCCTACTACCCAAGGTTCCTGTACAAGGAATAGGTCGGCTCCGCCTTCGGTCAGGCGAAGCAGAAGTGCAGCAGACGCTGCTTTACTGTGGTGAAGGTTTATTTGTAGAAGTCTTAATGACATCTAAAGCTTACACCTCCACCACAGTGACGTCGGCCTCCTCTGTGTCGCTGAGGTCTACGTCCTCGATGGCCGGTCCGAGCGCTCGCATCTCTCTGCTTAGCGACGAATCGGTAGAGTAGCCGTCCTCCGGCCCACCAGGTGCCTCCAACTCCTCAGCAAGCACCTGCTCGGCTGGGTTGCCGGCAGAGCTGCTAGCGGCGTTGGAGTCGCCCTTATACACCTTGATGTGTATCGCACTGAACCCGAAGTTCAGCAACTGACTCCTTGTTCAGGACCAAAACCGCCTGGTTGACATCCCCTTCATGCTCCTCCACCTTGACGACTTTCCAGTCCTTCGTGGGGAGGTGCGGGTTGCATTCTTGCAACATGAAGAGGATGTCCTCCGGCGCCTTGATCGCTGCTGGAAGCCAGATCCTGGCTCGGGGTCTACTGGGGACATCGCACCAGTCAAGCGCAACGATGTTCGCCCCTTCGTATACCTCGCCGAGCTTGCTTGTCGCCTGTTTATACATGTCAGCCGACCGCTGACTGTCACAGGCCACCACCCTGACGCTGCCCTGGTACCAGCCCGCGTCCATGCAGCAGGGCGAGGTGCCTGGCTTCTCTCGTACCATGCGCAGGCAAATGAGGGAAATGAGGTGGGACTCCACTGCCTTCCACTTGTTTCTGGGGATCCTGCCCTCCGGATTTCACCTGTCAATCAGGCCGAGTAGTACACGGTTCTTCGTGATTTCGGCGAAAGAGACCGATGGCTGGATCTAAGATCTCTTCGCCGATGGCCCGGGTAGTTCGAGGGATCTCTGCCTTTTTGCCTGAGTCCCTTCTTGAGTGGGCTTTTCCTGCCCGTAGTTTGGAAGCACCTCCCTTGCCCACTCTACCTTCTTTAGCCATTCAGGCGAAGGTGTGGCAACGGTACTCCTAGTGTGTGAGCGCAGAATCTGGGCGACAGTCCGCCTTTCTGCGTATGTGTATTTAGCACCAGCGGGTGGCCCGAGCGCCTTGGCAGTGCCTACCGCTGCTTTCTGCCACCCATCATCCCCAGTTTGGGATACGGCCCTTTCTGAACCGTGCTGGTATGGAAGGTGGAACCAGTGTTCATCTTATCCATGGGTTTTTTAAGAGTACCCGTCTCTGTGTTTTTTGTTGTGTTTTCTGTTTTCATTTGCTCCATAATTTGCTCCCACGAGTTGCGGAGAAGGGGAAAAGTCCGCCCGGGCAGAGATCCGCGATGCCCGGGTAAGGCGATAGTTAGAACAGGGGTTCGCCATGTCCCTAAGCACACCGTTTGAGACTGGGCTAGTTTTGATCCGGGCCCCCAGCCAGGCTGACTCTTGGCACGGTCCGTATTACACCGTAGTCCGGCCCGGAGTGAGATGTTGTTTGGGAGGGGAGTTGGGTAGGTGTTGTGTTGGGAGTGGGTTTGTGTAAAGCAACTATTTAGATGCGGCTGAACAACTCGCATCGTCGGTATTGCTTCGTTGCACGATACCCGCTGGCTGTCCGGGACTGTTTATTTACTGGGGTTTTCGTCCACGATTCCGTGTTTGACTTATCCCACCAGCTTATTCACAGTTGGCCTCGAGAGAGGTCGTCCGCTATCCGCAACCTGCGACCCGCTCGGTTGTCCCAGCTAGGCGACTTTGGAACTATCTCACAAGTTCCTCAGCCAAGAGCGCGTGTCATTTTCACGTCCATTCACGTTCACATGGATGGAAAACGCCAGGCCCTTTGATACAAATAGTTACACCGGAAAAGGGGTATGTTTTGGTTTTCTTCTGTTTTTCTTCGAAGGCCTTCATCTAAAGCCAACATCCGACTTAACGACTGAGAAATTTCTTGCCGCCTTTGCTCAGTTCGTATCCAGAAGATGGTGCCCATGCCAAGTTCAGACCGACAATGGAAATACCTTCGCCGGTGCTGCCACCTTTCTTTCCCGAGACTTTCTGCAATCCGTTAAGAAATCTGTGACTGATGCGTCATCAGCAGCTCAACTGGCAATTTTTCGTCCTAGGGCACCCCATATGGGAGGCCTTTGGGAAGCTGGTGTCAAGAGCTACCTGCCATGTCGGAGGACCTTACCGATCTGCTAGCGTTGACACCAGGGCACTTTCTTGTCGACGGACATCTTATGTCCATAGTAAAACCCAAACTAAAGGGAGAATCCAAATACATTATAAGCCGGTGGCAATACTTACAGGCACTCCATCATCAATTCCGCGCTCTATGGAAGGTTGACTACCTTAAAGAGCTCCACAAGCGCAAATCTTCACATTGGCGACATGGTCGTCATCAAGGACGACAATCTGCCCTCGAATGAGTGGCGACTCGCTAGAATAGACTCCGCTTTTCCGGCAGCCGATGGGAACGACCGCGTAGTTCGCAGGAATCTGCCGTAGCGGTGACCGGTGCAAAACGTGCGACACGAACCTGCTCCCCACTGCTCCATATGCCTGAGCACGCTTTTCGGAAATAGTCCGGCCGCTTCACAGCAGCTTTCGCGCCGGCAAGACCTGCCAAACCCGGGAGACACTCCTTGACCCCAACATATAGCTGTCAAGGAAACGGTCAGATAAATAATGAAATAATTATTTTTAAAAAAATTTTAACATTCTCGTTGTGAATTGCTCGCTTTATAATGCCTCCTTTTGTTTTTATTTCGGCCACCCTCACTCGTTTATCTTCGCCGGGTGATGTTGCCACGACGCGTCCTCTCTACCACCGTTGCGGAGGCAGATTGTCTTCGTGTACGAGAACCAAACAGCCTATTTCCAAATCGGTGCCCACGGTCCTCCACTTGCTGCGCTGCTGCAGGCTGGCCAGATAGTCCTTGGAACAGGTTCGCCAAAACTGCTGCTTGAGTGAGGACAGTATTCGCCACCGCTTCATATATCCGATATATAGCCTTTCTGCATATCCCGTCTGTGCTGGATTCTTGCGGCAGCGTAAGAAGAGTCTGGTCGATCGAAAGGTGCCTGGAGTCAGTTCCTCTCCATCGTTGGGGTCGTTGCCAGGCGACGCGATTGGACGAGAGTTGAGCAGCGCTTCGATTTCGACCAGATGTGTGCTGAGTTCGTCAGTAGAAAGATCGACAACGAGTTCCAGGTGAACAGCTTTTGACGAAAAACACACGAGTTATAAAGAGACATAAAATGGACCGCAAAAATCTACCCCACAAATCAAGAAAGGGCGAGCTTGTCTAACCCGATAGGCTGGCAAATTGGACATTATTTGGCCAAAAAGTACAGGCTCATAACGAAAATAGTGGACGCAGTCTCGAACAATTTTCGTGCACGCCTCTCGAGCATTGATCAGCCAAATCTGCTGCCTCAAAAGAGAGACCATCACCTTGGCGCCTGCATGATAATGCCTTTTGTGAAAATTGCGAAGGAACAGCTTAACAAATTGAGATTTTTGAGAGAGCATTAACGGAAATTTGGCGTCATATGGAATTGATGCATCCAACAATCTACCTCCAACTCGAATTAATCGAAATGCCACCCCATCTAGCTCGAATGTGTGTATGAAGGGATTTAAGCGTTGAAACTGTGGGGCCAAAACTTGAGATTTCCCCGACTTAAAAAATTCTGACCCCAACTCAAGTTTTTGAATTATTTGCACTAGCCTTAGGAACGACAATCTCAATTCCCTTGCGGAAATAACAGAATCGCATACACCCTTTTTCTTTTTAGTAAAACGATGTACATATGCCATAATCCGGAGTAGTTTGTCGAATGACGAACATCTTTCGGTAAGACTAAGGAACACGTTTGGTTTACTTTTCGCAACGGAGTGTAATGTAGCACTTATCTTGTTCTCTGAGAGCTTCAAATACAAAGAAACGTCAAGCTGGTAAAGGTGAGGCCATTCGATGTAACTGCGTAGTAGAAAATCTGGCCCGTTTTCCCACAAAGAACATTTTAAGCCGTCCACGTCTTTCCACGCGACACTAAATCATCTGGATGATCACTTGTAGGTACATGACGCCACACTACATTCTCTGATAGCTCTAGGATTTTAGAAACTCTGTTTGCGACGAACGTTGCTAGTGTGGATGGATCCCTTTTAAGCCAATAAAGAGTGACTTGAGAATCTGACCAAAAATTAATGCTTTCGATATCCAAAGTGTCAAGCAATGGGGCTAACTAAGCCCAGAGTTTCACAAGCAGGTGCGCTGCACATAGCTCGAGCCTTGGAATGGATTTCGTCTTGAGAGGTGACACTCGCGATTTGGCGCTTAACAATCTAGATAAACTTTTTGTCCCAACCCGTGTGCGGACATATATGCAACAGCCATAGGCTTCACTTGAAGCATCAGCGAAACCACGGATCTGAACAGACTCATATGCAGGCAGACAGATATATCGAGGAATTGAGATCTTGTTTGATTCCAGCAAACTCTGTTTAATCTTGTTCCAATTGGTAAGCAGACTCATAGGGACCGATTCATCCCAATCCAATTTTTGCTGCCACAGTTCTTGTAACAAGATCTTAGCTTTAGTTATTAAAGGACACAGTAATCCTAAGGGATCAAAAAACGAGCTGTGACAGACAAAATTTTACGTTTTGTTGGTGGTAATGAATCAAATGACTTATCTAAGCTGTAATGAAACACGTCATTTCGAGGATCCCATTTCATACCAAGAGTTTTTATGGGTGTAGAATAATCAAGTGCCAGAGACTTTTCCGGCACTGTATCAGTCAGAAGGCTGGAATGATTGGTGGCCCATTTGGCCAGATCGAAGCCCCCATATTTCAAAACCTCAGATACTTCTCTACGAATAGTTTTTAACTCTTCTAAACTATCGGCTCCTGTGATCATGTCGTCAACATAGAAATCACTTGCGATCACCTGACATGCAATCGGGTGTGATTCCTAATAAATTTTTGATAGCTCAAGTAGACAATGAATCGCCAAACACGGAGCTGGGGCTGTTCCATAACTAACAGTGTTGAGACGATAAGTTTGAAGTTGGTCTGCGCCTTTCTCTCTCCACAAAATAAGTTCAAAGTCCCGATCATCTTCGGCGACGTTAACTTGCCGATACATCTTTGAGATGTCAGCTGTTAAAGCATACTTCTTTAATCGAAACCGTGATAGAACGGCGTACAAGTCCCTCTGAATAGTTGGTCCCACCATTAGCGTCTCATTTAACGAGACCGAAGTTGACGTATTACTTGACGCGTCGAACACAACTCTCATCTTCGTGGTGCTACTTTCAGGTCTCAGGACACATTGATGCGGAATGCAGTAATGGTGACCTGGAGGAGGTGTGGGGAGCAATGACATATGACCAAAGGTAAGATACTCTTTCATGAATTCTTGATACATATCATGCAACTTGGCGTCATGGTTGACTTTGCGTTCCAACGCAAGAAATCTTCGCTTTGCTGTTTCGAAGGACAGTCCTAGCACATTTGGATTTCTTTTAAATGGTAGCTTCACCTCAAACCGACCTGAGGCAAGTCTTTTTACTGTTTCCTTGAAGTGTTGCTCACAGGCAACTTGTTCAGCTGCATAGACAGCCTTCGAGCTCTCTGTGACTTGTTCCAAATTCCAAAAACGTTCGACTAGAGAGTCGAGTGAACTGATATTATCGTTAACAGTGACGCTACAAACCTGAGCACTATTTAATGCTTGCCGAGTATACTTCCCAGAAACAATCCACCCTAATAAAGTTTTCTGAATTAAGCCTACGCTTAAAAGTTCGAAAAATATTTCTGCGCCAATTAGCAGGTCCACCTTTGCAGGTTTATAAAATCTAGGGTCTGCCAGCTCAATGTTTGCTGGTATACTCCATTGCGCACAGTTCACCTCATGGTCTGGTTGATATGTCGAAATCGACTTTAAGACTAACTTGATCATTACTCGCGACAAGACTAGAATAGGCTTGATTTTGCTGACCGGCAACTACTGCGTTAATTTGAGAGTGCACTTGCGGCACTGATCCAGGAATAGTTAACTGATGCTCTACTTCGTAGCGGTGAAGGAGCGAGTCATGTGGTGTTGAGCAAACTCGACACTTCGCAGCCCTGCATTTCTTTACTGGAGGTCCTTGATGTAGATAATTAATGCACAAGCGGTGTTGTTTAACGAAATTGAAACGCTGAATTACCGGGAGAGCAACAAAGGCTTGACAACTGCCTAAACTATGGTCCGACGCTGAGCAATATTGACATTTTGTCTCAGTCCGGCGTTCTGTCTTTGTGCAAGAAAAGGAAGATCTTGAATATCCCTTATTTGATCCCTGACTGGACTTTACCTTGTTCCTTGTGGATTCCTCTGCAACTAAATGCTTGACAACTGCCTAAACTATGGTCCGACGCTGAGCAATATTGACATTTTGTCTCAGTCCGGTGTTCTGTCTTTGTGCATGAAAAGGAAGATCTTGAATATCCTTATTTGATCCCTGGCTGAACTTTCCCTTGTTCCTTGTGGATTCCTCAGCAACTAAATGCTGATACCGACGATTTAACTGAACCACGCAATCGGAAATTTTGGCAGAGTATTGTAATCTAACTGTTCTTCAAAACGAGATTTCGTAACGTTATCTACTTTGGACATTGCTATATGAATCAACATGGCATTATTTAGTTCCTTCTCGCTCCCCAATGATTGTAATGATGCATAAAGGGCTGAAATTTCATCGATAAGAGACCTTAAACTGGAAGCCGATGGTTTTAATACAGGGGGGATTTCAAATAATTGTGACACTGTATCGAAAAAGATCAGACATTTATTGTCATAAACACTTTTTAAACTATCCAGTGCCTTTTCGTAATTACTCTCCGAAATTTGAAAAGACTTCACAGTTCCTAGCGAACCATCAGTAAGACAAAAAGTAAATGATCAAACTTTTCGACATTTGTTAAAGATGCATCATTATAAACCAAGCTTTCGAATAGACTTATGAAGTTTTTAAAATCGGCATATTTTCCACTAAATTTAGGCAAATTCACTTTTGGCAAATTTGATATCGGACGATGATGATTGTTATCCGCCTGACTGATTTTCTGAGAGTCGTTACCTTGCATTGCAGGCCGGTATAATGATATTGTGATATCGCACATATCCTCAACTGACGCTCTTAAATCGTTACTTGGATTTAATAAATCGATGTCTGATTGGATATCCAATCATTTTTCGCAATTAGTTTCGAGAAGTTCCATTCGGTATTCAATTTGAGCTTTATCGAAGGAAATAGTTATGTCCTCGAATGCCGTTCTCATACGCCTATTTCTTGATTAGTTTTAGAATTTCCTTCCTTAACAATTAATTCCTTGGCTTTGTCACTCATTTTGAAATTATTAGAATTTATTTATTTATTATATGAATATAAATGCCTTACCCAAAGGGTAAACTGCAATATTTGCCGATGGATAACGTTTAAGCAGAAACAAACCTATTTATTTTGGTCACCTAAGGGTTAAGGAATGCAAAATAATTGTGTATGTATGTTCGCAGGTAAAAGCTTTACAGCCAACGCCAAGACTCAAACGATAAAATTTTATTCGACAAAGCAAAAAAGGGTTACAGATTTCCGCGAATTGTTGTGGATCACATAAGGGTTAAAGATGCCCACAGGTCACAGCCCAAGTGCAACAATTTATGATTTTAATTTACTTAAAACGTGTATATAAGTGGCTCCTATAAGGGCTAACACTTGTGATACACTGCGTCGAATTCCAACGGGTTCTAATTATTTAAGCGAAAATTCTCCAAAATGCAGATGTATGTATGTACGCAGCACTAACTTTTACTGTTCTTTATCCGCAGGCACATGCAAACCGTTATGTAAAATGGCTAAAATATACTTATGTCTCAAATAACTGTTTTGCGAAAATATACTGCACTGCCGGAATAGGAGTCAGACAGAGAACCCAACAACCGTTTATTTGTCTCAAATCAAAAATTTTCACAAAATTTTCGCAATCTATTATTTATTAAAGGCTGTTTATTATACAATTGGACTGTGGGTATATTAAGTTTTTACAATTTCTGAGTGCCAAAAATTAATATAAGTTGGTGGAGTGGGCAACGTATGAGTGCAACAAAAATGCTCGAAAGTTAATATTTGGCACTGAATCAGGTAATTGTTTGGCATGTTTCACA